TTATTAAATGTTTTAAAGAGGTAGAGTCATGTAGTAAAGAAGAGATAGAAATAAAAACTTAAAAGATGGAAGACAACATATCCATGAGAAAGAGTTGACATCTGGAAATGATCAGTAAGTTGGATACAAGCCAAAATGAGCACTTCACGATGGCAAGTTTTGATCCTTTACATAGAGTTGCCATGACCATCTGGAATGCAAATATTTGAGTCCTGGGTGGGATAGGACATCTCACAGCAGAGACATCATAGCAGTGGCAAGTTCCTGAAGTGAAAAAAAGAAAAATAGTCTCAAGGGAGAAACATAGGGTCTAATATGCAGTCTGAAATCAAGGAACCCTTATTGTTAGAGTGCTAGAATGCTTGGGAAGACCAGAGAAGTAATTTGAGCTAGCAAAGAATCCACAGAAAGCTTATGCTATATTCCTCAACACACATCAATACATGGCAGAGATACTACAAGTTTTGCATTGCGTGTGGAAAGACTGCTTCTGAGGGTAATAGTCAAGGAAGCAGTAAAGCCTGAGGAAGCAGATGGTGTTAGGCTATCCCAAGAAACCCCTAGACAGATAAATAATGTGCAGATGACACTACAAAGACACCTGATTGGATTCAAAAAAAGGTGAAACAGCAGAGTGGATATGAGCTGCTGGGCACAATTAAATTATCTGAGAAAAAGTTTTATCAAAGACAGAGGTTAGAAAAACACCTTCCAAAATGTCTTCACATTTGTGGTCTATAGAAGTAAACTAAGAGACAGCCATGAACTCATGCAGAAGTGACTGTGAAGAGAGAGCAACCTGTTGTGTTGGATTGTGGATCTTAATTGACTATTATATAATATTTTGGGCCAATATCTTTGCAGCTAGTGCCAACACTAGGACTCTGAAACAAATGAGAATGCAATTTCCATCTTTAGGCTCCATTAGTATAAGCTTGAAATTCCCTAAGCAAATTTTGAGTGTCAGTATAAGTGCTCGGGCATCTCAATATGCCCTGGTATGACAAAACCAGGTGAACACTGATCAGGACCAACTTCAACTTAATCAAATTCCTAGCAGAACAATGGACACAGTGAGCTGGGACTCAACAGCTAGACATTCTGACCACCCATGCCTCCTGTACAAAAAATTATAAGGTAAAAATTACTGAAGACCTAGAAAAAGAAAAAAAATCTCACCACCAAGTCCCTGGCACTGTCAGCTGGTTCAGCATTAGAAACTGACCTAATTTTATCAGTGGGAATAACACTAAAGAAGCATCATCATAGGACTTTTCCATCTCACTGTTAGCTGAACCTTTCTCTGCCTGTTGTCTCCCCATCAGAATGTGAACTCCTTGAAATTCAGCAGGAACTCTTTTCTATTTGTACATATGTATATGTATATGTACATATATATATGTATTCTAATTACTTAATGTTTTTCCACTTATTCCAGTGACTTTGGAAATATTGTTTAATCTATCTGAGTCTCTGTTTCTTCAACCTTGCACTACTTACTTGTGGAAAAGAAGAACAAATATGAGTACTGTGAGTTTTGGGGAAACATCTCCTCAGATAAAGAAAACTCCTAGACCACAGAAACAGAGTTATGGGGTTATCTCAATAAGAGATTCTCAGGCTATGCTTTATGCCATTCCCATTGGCAGCAAGATGGACCAGATTGATTCCAGTCAGTCAATAAGCATTTATTGAATACCAACTCTGTGCCAGGTGCTACGCTAAGCACTGGGGTTACAAGAAGCCACAAAAGACAATCCCTTCCCTTAAAGAACTCATAATGGGAAGAGATAATAAACAAAAGCAGAAAAACAAGTTGTAGACTGGATACATAGGAAATAACTCAGAGAAGTCACCAGAATTAAGAGAAGTTGTCAAAGGCTTCCTGTAGAAGAGGTTACTTTAGTTGGGACTTGAAGAAAGCCAGGAGGCATAGGTAAAGAAGGAGAGCATTCCAGACATGGGAGGTATCCAAAGAAAATGCCCAGAGCTGAGGGATGAAGTGTCTTGTTCAAGTAACAGCCAGTGTCCCTTGATTGAAGAGTATGTGGTGAGGAGTAAAATGTAAGAAGACTGGAAAAATAGGAGTAGTGAGGGGCTAGGTCATAAAGGGCTTTGAATGTCTAACAGAGAATTTTGTATTTGATCCTGGAAGTGATAGGGAGCCACTGGAGTTTATTGAATCGGGGGATGACATGGTCAGACCTTTGCTTTAGGGGAAAAAAATCATTTGGGCAGCTGAACAGAGAATGGATTGAAATGGGGAGAGACTTAAGGCAAGCAGACCCACCAGCAGACTACTGCAGTAGTCCAAGAATGAGATGATAAAGGACCTCCATCAGGGTGGTGGCAAGTATCAGAGGAGAGAAGGAAACATATTCAAGAGATGTTGCAAAGGTGAAATTGACAGGCCTTGGCAATGACAAGGGTGAGAGAAATAATGAAGAGTAAAGGATGGTACCTCGGTTTTGAGCCTGGGGGACAGGGAGCATGGTGGTGGCCTAGACAGTAATAGAGAAGTTTGGAGGGGCAAAAGATAATGAGTTAAGTTTTGGCCATATTGAGTTTAAGAGGTATACTGGACATCCCATTCAGCAAAGAGTTTAAGGCAGGATAAGTAGATTTGGGAAGCATCAGTATAGAGATGGTAATTAAGTCAATAGGAGCTGATGAGATCACCAAGTATAGTATCAAGGTAGAAGAGGTCCAAGAAAGAGCCCTTTTGGATAGAGTACATGACCTGGATGAGGATCCAGGAAAGGAGACTGAGAAAGAGTGGTCTGATAGGTAGAGGGAGAACCAGGTTACATTGGTGTCCCAAAAACCTGGTAAGAAGAGATACCAAGAAGAATAGGATGATCCACAATGTCAAAATTGCAGAGAGATTAAAAAGAATGGGAAAAAGAATGAGGATGAGAAAAGGCCATTGGATTTGGCAATTAAGAGAGCATTGGACAAGCAGGATGGTTTCAAAAAATCTGGGAACACTGACATGAACTGATGCAAAGTGAACTGAGAAGAATCAGGAGAACATTGTACACAGTAAAAACAATACTGTAGGGGCAGCTAGGTGGCGCAGTGAATAGAGCTCTGGCCTTGGAGTCAGGAGGACCTGAGTTCAAATCCAGCATCAGACACTTAACACTTAGTAGCTGTATGACCCTGGGCAAGTCACTTAACCCTGATCACCTAAAGACACACACACACACACACACACACGCACACACACATACACACACACATATACACACACATACACACACACACACACACACACACAATATTGTAACAAGGATCAACTGTGAAAGACTTAGCAACCCTGATCAATACAATGATCCAGGACAATTCCACAGGACTCATGATGAAAAATGATATCCACCCCTTGGAAGAGAACTGATGAACTGTGAGTGCAAATTGAAGCAAACTTTTTTTTGCTTTATTTTTCTTGCTTTTTTATAACATGGATAATATGGAAATATATTTTGCATGACTGCATGTATAAATGATATATTGCTTATGTTCTCAATGGGGAAGGGAGGGGCTAGAGGAAAGGAAAGGATTTAGAGCTAAAAATTTTTAAAAATTAATGTTAAAAAGAAAGAAAGAAAAAAGAGAGATCACTAGAAACTTTGGAGAGAGCAGTTTAGGTGGAATGATGTAGTCAGAAGCCAGATTGTAGGGGGATTAAGAAGACAGTGAGAAGAGAGAAAGTAGAGATAAATATTGAAGACAACATTCTCAAGGAGTTTAGTCACAAAGGGCAGAAGAGATACGGGATGATAGTGGAGGTAGAAGAATCAAGTGAGGGTTTTTTGAGGATAAGGGAGACATGGGAATGTTTGTAAATTGTAGAGAAGGAGCCAGTGGTCAGGGAAAGATTGGAGGTAAGTGACAGTATGGGAACGACAAAGGGGGAAACCTGTTGGAGAAGATGGGATGGAATGGCATCAATTGTTCAAGTAAAAGAATTTGCCTTGGTAAAGAGTAAGACCACCTCTTCTTATGACAAAAGAGTGAAGGAGGAGAGAGTAGCAGAAAGCATCTGAATGATAGGAGATGAGAAAGAAGAGAGAGTTCCCATGAATGACCCCAAATTTTTCTATGAAATATGAGTCAAGGTTCTCAGATGAGAGAGTGAGGGGAAAAGAAACCATAGGACATTTGAATAGGAATAACAAGGTTTGGAAGAATCACTATGGAAAATAGGATAGTGAGTTGATAAGAGAGATACAGAAGGATTGTCTAGCAACAGCGAGGACCTAGTTGAGTTTACATGACAAATTGCACGTGGACCCAGTCAGAGGGGTTGCATGGTTGCATTTTGAAGCAGCTCTCTACTATCTTATCTACTATCTTAGAGGTTACCATCGCTACAGAGAAATGCATTTTCTGACTCCTACCTAAGCCCCACCTGATCTTCTTCAACTCTTTTCATTCCAAAGTTTAAATACTTCCCCCATTTCCTTTCTACCTTGGAATTCTGCTGATTGTGTACTCTGAGCAAACCTAAGAAGTTATAAAAATCCACTCTGTGCCCAAAAAAAGTGAAACTAGCCTGAGGAGTCTTCCTTAGTGTGCTGATTAACTCTTGTTTTTCTTTTTTTCTGTTTGACGCTTCACTTTTTGACACATATATCCAACACACAAACACCCAACAAATCTTTCAGACTTTATGGCATATGACATTCTCCATGGGCTTTCATGGAATGTAGACTGGGAAATTACCACAATACATTTAACTTACAGGGTTGTCATGAGCAAACTGCTTCCTAAACTTTAATGTGCTATAGAAATGAGGAAGTAGTAGCAATAATAGTACTACCAGTAGTATTATTATTATTTCTGAACCTATACAAAAATAAATTTTCATTATGACCACCATACATATCCAGAGGCTTCATTACCTTACTTTTTGTGACTAGGAGCAGAAAGCCATGTCTTTAGAGTTTGGGAGTACACATCTCACCTGACTTTCATGAATATTCTGTCTTCTTTTTTAGACGGTGACATTTTACCAAGCAATTGACTATGAAGGTGTAACGAATTATGAAGAACTCCAGTAAGTATAATTTATTTAAGAAAGAAAAAGAAAAAACCTAGCTGTAGTTGTTAGCCTTAACTTAAACATATCATGTATATTTTTAAAATATCATTAACTGTAAACATAATTTGATTCAAGTAATATTTGCACAAAGGGGCGCCTTGACTGAGTAGGTGGGATAAAACAGGAAATTGGCCTTAGAATTTCAAATAAGATAGTAACTATGCAGTTCACCATTTGGGGGAAGTGATCTTACCCCAAAGCTATGGAGTGTTTAAATATCTCTCTCTTAAGTCCTTACTTAACAGTTTCTGGAAAGTAGGCCTTCCTTCTAGGGAAGTAAGTTACTTTTTTCTTTGCTATGCTGCTGCTGCAAGGGAGTACTGCCTACTCTGCCACTAATCTTTATCACCATTCCCAAGTAACTTATCATATAATGTTAGAGAGTTGTGTCTCTCTATCTTTCTGAATGTATACTTTGTACTGAATACAGAACAAGATGCAGCATGCCATAGTGGAGAAAGAGCTGGTCTTAAGGTTAGGACTACCTAAATTCAAGTCCTGGCTTGCACTCCTGAAGCCAATCATTTATCCTATCAATGAGCTAGGCTCATTTATTTATCTAAGACTGTAAGTTGCAAAGTGCTTAAGACTCAATTGGTGGATGATTGGCTAAGCTCCCTACAATCGTGAAAAAAAGTCTAGAACAAAAATCCCTAAAAAAAAATTACATAGAAAAGATAATTTATCTGGGGTTACTTAGATCAGACATTTCTCCAAATGGTGAAACTATAGGAAAATTTTTTTAAAAGAGACATGGGGGGGGTGATGTCTTTAAGGATATAAAGTTATTGGTTAATCTAGAAATATAAAAATGATGTATAAATTGATTTCTTCATTAAAAATCACATTTGATATAGAGAGAGGGAGGGTTTTTTCTATAATTTTTTAGAGAAAAAAGAACCTTTTTTTTTTGTGAGGCAATCAGGGTTAAGTGACTTGCCTACAGTCACACAGCTAATAAATATTATGTGTCTGAGGTCATATTTGAACTCAGGTCCTGCTGACTAAAGGGCTGGTGCTCTATCTATTTCACCACCTAGCTGCCCCTGAGAACAAAGAATCTTAAAGAAAAGTATTGCAATCTTTTTCTTTTGGGTGTTCACATTTTTTTGGCCCGGACATAATGTGATTTATAGACAATTTATAGCCTCTGGTCCTCTTTCTGATACCATACAAACCCTTCCACGTAGCCTAACCCTAGCCAACCAGTTACCCCTATGGTTGTAGATTATATCATTATTTTAAACCTTCAGAAGCAGCAGGTACAAATCAGATCTTGGTATTGAGAGGCCAAGCATGAATACAAGTGGCAGGTCTTATCCAATAAACAACGACCATTGGAACTGAGAGGGTTGTTGGGCAAAAAGAATTAGAGGTGGAGTTAGAGTGGGGTCAACTAGAAGTTCTGATCTTCTTCCTTCTGTATTAGGTTAACTAGAGTATATAAGCTATCATGTGATGAGAGAAGCACTTAAAATCAATCCCCAATCCATAGCTGGCTCAACAGTAGCACTGAGCAGTCACTGCCACCACTACTTACCCTACGAGCCTTTAGGATTTCCCCTGGTAGGCTAAACATACCATGTGTATGGCACTTTGCACCTGCTAGTAAGTGTGAAGTCTATACCTTTACAAAGAGGCAAAGATATTGACTAGACGACTTTCAGTCCTGTGTTTCAATGATAATCTGAATGGACTCTTTTTCTTAGAGAGCAATACACGGGTCATGTGATGATTCAACTGCGACCCAGTCAGTTTGCAAAAACATGTCCATTATCTAGTCAGGTAAGTTTCATAGGTATAAAAGTTAATCACTCACGATATCTGTGTGTTCTTATCAAGGTGCTGTCTAGTACTCAACTGGGTTTTTGGTCAACTATTGTACGTGCAAGAAAAGTGATAAATTTAGAATTCTGCTTTTGAGTGGAATAGATAATGCAATCTTTTTTTTAAAGCAATCAGTGACTTGCCCAGGGTCACACAGCTAGTAAGTGTCTGAGGCTGGATTTGAATGCAGGTCCTACTGACTCCAGGGCTGGCACTCAATCCACTGCGCCACCTAGCTGCCCCAAAATAATCATTCTTAAAAAATACATAGAGACAATGTAAAAATACAAATTATAGAAATGTTTACAGAAATGCCAAAAGAATGTTCGCATGAACATGCAGAATACTGCATGATATTAGCAGCCATGGCCACTTCTCTGTCATTTTAACACTTCATTCATTTTCGTAGTTTCAGCTCTACATGTACCTGATAGTACTTTCTTTTCTTTGGTAAATCCCTCTACTGTGAAACATAAGGGAGGTCTCAAAGCTGCTGTCCTATAAGTCTTCGCTTGGCAACATGGCCTACAAATCCCTCCCAAACACATGTAGATGAGCAGACTCACTGACAACAAGGCTGCCTTGGTCTTGGAGCAAACATGTGAGGTGCTGGACAGAGGACAGAAACAACCACACATGCTTAGCGAGAGCCATACTCTGCCCAGGAGGAAATACAACAGAAGCCACTGAGAAGGTTACGAAGATAAGGGAAATGGAGACATGCAAGGGAAGGAAAAGGGAAGGGAAGCAGTAATAATAACTCATACCTCATTTTAAGGTTCACACAGTGATTTACTCATTAGAACCCACTGAAGTTGATAAAAATAAATACCCCTGTACACTGCTAAAATGGAAGAAACCCCAGATCCAAAAAGGGAGATCTGGAATGACCCAGAGACTGGCCACAGTTTACAAAGATTATAACTGCACTTTTTGCCTTAGAAGAAGCTTGCAAGCTAGAGCAGAGACAATCTCTCAACTGTTCAAAGGGAAGTGGAAAGAAGGTGAGGTATTTATACATATTTGAGGTATTTTAAACTTTTTTGAGGTATTTATGGCTAAATGGGGGCTAAGAGAGAAACACAATAATTTGGGAAATCAGGCAGCAAGTGGGGGTCTAGGAAGAAGATATCTGTAAACACAATCAGAAAGCAGGAGGATTGCTCCCCTTTTGATAAGTCAGAAAGCAAGATGTTTGCTTTTTCGTCTGAGCTGGTCAAGACTAGTTTCAACGGTTGCAGGCGTTTCCAAGTTCAGCTAAAGTCTATTTCTCAAAGGATCACTGGTATGTCAAACAGCCCTGGGCATCAGAAGTCCTCCTGTTTGGTTAGTTGTCCCACTGTCCCATTGTCTGGTTCCCCTGTGAAAAAGGGAAACTCTAGCATATTTAACTGGCACTACAGAGCTCATGTCCACAAAGTGGATGGTACAAGTGTTATTCCTACTTTTAAGCTATAGATACTGAAGTTCACACAGGTTAATTGATTCACTCATAATCACACAGTTAAGTAATATCAATCAATCAACAAGCATTAATTAACCACAACTATATGCCAGGGACTAGAAATACAGAGTCGAAAAGGAAATAGACCTTGATATCATGGATCTTACATTCTACCAAAGGAAAACATGTACATATTTATATATTTATACAAATGTATATAGTCTCTGCATCTGTATGTATTTGCAAAATATATGCAAATGCCTTCCCTCTCAAATTACCTCTAATTTATGCTGTATATATCTTGGATAATACATAATTGTCTGCATGTTGTCTCCTCCCCCCAGAAGAGTGTGAGCTCCTTAAGAGCAGGGACCGTCTTTTTTTGCCTTTATATGCCCAGGATTTATTACAGTGCCTCCTCGCACATAAGTGCTTAAGAAATGCTTTTGCCTGACTGACTGCAAATGAAATGTTGATGTGGGAGGGATGCATTAACTATTAGAGGACTCAGAAAAGACCTTACATAGAAGGAGGTACCTGAGATGAGTTTAGAAGGTCACAGGAACTGCCCAGGCAAAGCCATGGAGGACAAAAATACATACCACATGTGAACAACAGCTAAAAGGACATTTGAAGGGATGGCATCTTAGAGTATATAGAGGCAATTTGTCTGTAATAAGATTGGAAAGGTAGGTAGGAACCAGGTTGTGAAGGATTTTCCAAATCCTTCAAACAAACAAAGGAATCTGTATTCAATTTTAAAGGCAATAAGGAGCCTTGGAACTTCTTAAACAGGGGAGTGAATTTGTTGGACTTTTGCTTTTTGAATAATGTCACTTTGGTAACTGTGTGGAATATGTATTAGAGAGAGAAGAGACTTGAAGAAGGTAGACCAGTTATTATAATATTGTTATATTATAATAATTATATTATAATATGTCTATTATTATATAATGATATATTATATATTAAAATTATTATAATAATCCAGGCAAGGGATGATGACTTAAATTAGGTCCTGAGAAGGGGGTAGTTGTGAATGATACCATGAAGGCAGAATTGAAAATACTTGGTAACTGAATGGATATATTGGGTGTAGATAGGTGAAAAGACAAATGTGATTCTAAGGCTGCAAATGTGAATGATCAGGAGGATGATGGTGACCTTGACAGAAATAAGAAAGTTAGGAAGGACAGGTTTTGGGGAAAATATGAGTTCTGTTTTGGACATATTGAGTTTGAGATATCTATAAGACATCCAATTTAATAGGTACAATATGTCCAAGGTGTCCAATATGTCCAGTTCTATAAGAGAACCCAAGTAAACTGATAGGGTCACAAAGAGGCCAACCTGAAAGAGAAGAAGAGAGACAAAATAGCCTTGAGGTACACCCACAGTTAGGGAGAAGGAGAGAATTCCAGACGACTGAGAAGTAGCAGTTGGTGAAATATAAGGGGAACCAGGAAAGTGGTATCACGAAAAACCAGAGAGGAAGGAATACCAAGGAGGAAGGGCATAGTTAACAGTATCAGACACAGAGAGGTCAAGAATAAATACTGAGAAAAGGCCATTTTTTGGCAATTAGAAGATCACTGATAAGTTTGAAGAACAAAGTTTCAGTTGAGTGATGAGGTCAGAAGCCAAATTTCAAGGTGTTAATGTCAAAGCTAAGATTTGAACCCAGGTTCAGCACTCTTTCACTAAAAGCATAAAGCTGGAACAGATTCATTAACTGAGGCCTTGCTCTACAAAGCTTATAAAGTTGAGCAGCAGACAGTCTCCATCATCCTCCCAGTCCTCCAGGCTCACGACCTAGGTGTCATCCTTGACTCCTCATATCCCTCACCTCTTCTCCCAATACATATCCCATCTGTTGACAAGGCCTATGGATTTCACCTTTATAACTTCTCTTGAAAACACCCGCTTCTCTCCTCAGATAGTGCCACCCCCCTGGTGTGGGCCCGCTTCGCCTCACACTTGGACAATTACAGTAGCCCCCATTAGGTGGGCCTACCTGCCTCAAGTCTCTTCTCAGCGTAACCCATCCCCCATTCACCTGCCCAACATTTTCCTAACGCACAGGGCTGACCATGTTACTCCCCACTCCAGTGAGTCCCTATCACTTCCAGGATCAAATACAAAATCCTCTGTTTGGTGTTCAAAGCCTTTCATAAGCTAGTACCTCCACACCTACCTTTCCAATCTTCTTACACCTTCCTCTCCACCACATACTCTTCAGTCGGGTGCTTTTTGTTGCCTCTTTGCTGTTCCGTATACAAGACATTCTATCTCTCTGCTCAGAGCATTTTCTCTGACCCTTCCCTCACCTGCAATATTCCCCCTTTTCATCTCTGCTTCCTGGCTTCTCTGGCTCCCTTCAAGTCTCAATTAAAATCCCATCTTCTACTCTAAGCCTTTCCCAACCCTTCTTAATTCTAGTGCTTTCCTTCTTTTAATTATTTCCTATTTATCTGATTGGTAGCCTTTTTGTACATATGTTTTGCTTGCTGTCTTCCTTGTAAGATCGTGAGTTCCTTGAAGGCAGGTGTCTTTTGCTTCTTTTTGTTTCTGCGGTCCATGGCACAGTGCCTGGTACATGATAGGTGCTTAATAAAAATACTTATAAACTGACATAACATGTTAAGTTTCGAGAGACTGCAAAACATTCCAGTGGAAATATAAAACCGAAGCCTCAAACAGAAATTAGAGATCGAAATGCCAGTTTGAGAATCAATGTGAAAGAGGTGAACATTGAAACCAAGAAGAAGAGTGTCCTCTTTTATAGCAAATACAGAAAAACAAGAACAGAGAATCTAGGGATTGAGTATTAGGAGGCACCTACATTAAGGGGGTGGAAATTGGAAAAAGCAGCAAAATTAGAGGGGCTGAAAAGTTAGGAGAACCACTATCAGTGCATTGTTGCAGAATCATAGTTTTAAGAGGATAGTAAATACTATTATTTTCAAAAATGTATTGCTCCCTAGCTGTAGATTTTTCAAAGTAAACTGAATCATACCCACTGATCTCACCATTTAAATTACTTTATTACAGGCAGTTCATGTATTTGTTGGCTGTTCCTCGCAAAGATATCTTGAACTCAAAGGGTAAGTTTATTTTAATTGTATTTGTCTTCCTCTGGATTTACAACTCACTGGTAAAAATAAATGATAATTAGTAGTAGTTTTAACCGAATGATTAGTTCATCTTTATTTGAATTCTAACTAACTTGAAACTATTATTCAATTATTGTTTCAATTAGTTTGAGTTTTGAAAGAGATTAAATACTAATCTTGCTATTCTATTAAGTGAAACCTCCATTAAAAGCCCTACTCTTCTGTCTGCTAATGAAGTGAAGATCTGATTGTATGTTTTTGAAAACTATGCCTGCATATACTCTGTAAGAACTTAGGAAGCTGGAAAACAATAACAACAACTACTTTGAGTATATGGGCCTGGTATAGCAATATAACTATCATCCAAGGAACAGATTAGTTCAGAGAGAATTATCACCAATTTAGACACAAGGCGATGAGTTATTTGGTACAATAACTCTTGAAGACCATTTTCTAAATCACAGAGGAGTTGGGGACTATGTCAGTGGCAAGAATAGACATACTAATAAAGTTTGAAGTATTGAATTATTAAGGTCCCATATGAGTTCTCCTTCCTTCTTAGCTGATCAAAGCTTTTCTCTATTTCCTATTTCTTAATGGAACAAATTATCATTCCCCTCCTATCTCTCTTAGAGCACCTCAGTGCACAAGTCAGCAAATCAAATCACTAATCATTTGTTAAGTACCTTCCGTGAACCAGGTGAATAGACTCCTTACCCAATATCCCCCCTCCCAGGGGAGTGGTGGTGAGATAAACATTTGTCTGCTCTGAATTCTCTACTCAAAATCATTTTAGCCCAAATATGGTCAAAATATCCCTTTATTAATGGTCCCTGGCTAACAAAATTATTTATACCTGTTTTTTTAATTTGTTTGTTTTTCCAAACATTTATTATCCCTGTCTCTTCCTGGTCCCTCCACTGAGCAATAAAGGATCGAAAAACCTTCATAACAAATATTCAAAACAAATTCCCACATTAGCCATGTCCAAAATGTATGCCTCATTCTACATTTTAAGTCCATCAACACTCTGTCAGGAGGTGAGTGGTGGTGTATTCTTCTGGACTCCTGGTTTATCATTGTGTTGATCAGAAGTCTAAAGTCTTTCAAAGACATTTTTCTCTATAATGTTGTCACTATATAAATTGTTTTCCTAGTTTTTTTCATTGTTCATAGTGCTCTTTCAATTTTCCTCCAAAATTGTCCATTTCATAATTTCTTATGGAAAAATTATGTTCTATTACATTCATATACCATATTTTGTTTAAGCTTTCCTCAATAGGAGGCTACCCCTTAGTTTTGGGCTACTACAAAAAAAAGAGCTACAGCTAATATTTTTGTATATATAATTCCTTTTCTTCTTTCTTTGCTCTCTATGGGAGTGGTCAGTACCCCTTTTCTAGAAATATCAGACCTCCATTACTTGACCAAGGGAATACCTGGTTTTGCAAGGCCCTGATCCATCTTTTCCCTTGGTAATATTGCCTAGTCAAGTTTACACTTCTGTATGATGCAATATACTCCAACAACGTTGTATTGTAAAAGCTTTAGATAGTCCAAGTTTGGAGTAAATAAGTATTTCCAAAAAAGGCCATTCTAGCCTACTATACCACTGGCTTCCCTATGTGGAGGGTTTGGGGGAAAGATGGAGAAAGGGGGGAGAATCTGTCTCAGCCTGTGTAAATATATCTAAATAATATTAAATACATTTATCTCTTGAGACCTTTTCCCCCTAAACATTAAAACCATCAGTTATCATGTTTATAAAAGCACATAGTCTTATACAAAATTAAGTAAACTATTATTCATCAATTCTTTTCTTCTTAACCTTTTCTTTAACTCTCTTAGCAATCTGGTAAAGTCTAAAATGTTTTTAAATGTGCAAAATAAAATTACCCCCCAAAAAAACAAATTATATTGAAATAAATTTTCAAAAAAAAATTAAGTCATGAATCCCAGATTAAGAACTCTTGAATTCATCAACGAATCAATCTCTTTAATAGTGAATATTAACAGTCATTCTTTCAACAATCAGGTAAAGTTAGCTATAACATATCTTCAAGGGAATATACACTAGCCTTTTGCTTTTCCAAATATATAGCTTTGGGCCCAGGATGATGTCAAATTCCTTAACACCACCCACAGTATAATCCAAATGCCCGTAGAGATGATGTGAAACATGGAGAGAGGACTGAAAGAGAAAGATGATAGGAAGAAACATCTAATATTCTCTTTCTCAGGGAGTCTTGTTCTGTGTTCAAATTGGGGTGAATCTAAGAGTCCTTTATCCAGAAGAGAATTCTTATTCTGCCTAGTAGTTTTAAGTCCCAACTAGTCCAAATTTGTCAAGGAAGAGAGCATTTGTTGGGGTTCTATTGACTTCAAGGCCTTGGGTCAAACCATCCAAAAGTCAATCTGGACTCCTAGAAGACCCTAAAATTACCTAAATTTACCTAAAATTACCTAAAATTACTTCAAGTGGTTCAGTGACCAATGGAGGCAGGAAGTGACTCCTCCATAATGGTTACATGTTCACAGAATCATAGAATTCCCAAGTGAAAAAGGACTCCAAGATCTTGTTCAACTCGTACATGAAAGAAATCACACTATCACATGCCTTTAAAGTGATTGTTCAGGCTCTGCTTCCAAGGAGAGGGAACCTATTACTTCTCTGAGACCTTCCAAATCTAGTTTCAAAACTCTGTAGTGATTCAATCAGCATATATTACTGCTTAATCAGTTTGACTAGAAAAGTTGAAATTAGGAGCCTGGATTGTAGTAGAAATCAGCACTCCTACTGAGCTTTCTGAAGACAACCAGAACAAGCAGAATGAGCATAACTTGGACATCAGTGAAATGGGTTTGTCTAAGAGATGGTCTAAAAAGCAGCTCTTCTGCTTTCAATCACTAAAATCTAGAAGAAAGAGTAAGTCCATCTAAAAAAGAATAAGTATAGCTATAAAATGGTTCAAGTAATTTCACTTGACCTTGTCAGATATTTAACAAGGATTAAATTCAATTCAAAAAGTGTTTTTTTTTTTTTAGGCAATTGGGGTTGAGTCACTTGCCCAGGGTCACACGGCTAGTAAGTGTCAAGTGTTTGGCCTGAGACCAGACTTGAACTCAGATCCTCCTGACTTTAGGGCCGGTGCTCTATCCACTGAGCCACCTAGCTGCCCCTCAAAAAGTATTTCTTGAATGCCCACAATGAGCAAAATTCTGAGCTAGAATATTTCAGGTTTTCAGTGATGATTAATTACTACACTTTAGGAACTTACAGTCTAGAAAAGGGGATAGGACAAGAACATAATAATAAGTTAAGTCAGAATGTTAAGTTCCATAAAAGAGCCACAGAAAATATATGGGTACAAAGGAAAGAGAGATCCTACCTGACTGGGGAAACTGGAAAAAGCTTCCTTAAAAAAGTTGACATTTGAGACAGGCTTTGAAGAACGGGTCAGATTTTGGCAAAATCTTTGTCGGCTAATCTACTGGATGGCATGATCTCTAGAAACTCATCATTTTGCAAAATGAATTCAACTTGGTAACTCACACCTCCCCAGATCATTTCCAACCCTGGCTGCAAGATTTTATCATCCTCCTTCCCACTTTCCTACTTCTTTATTCCCCCAAACCCACCTTTTCAGCTTGTTTTTATGTGTTGGCTTCCTCCGTTGGTATGTAAGCTCCTTGTGGGCAGGGACTATCTTATGCCTTTATAACCTAGCACTTAACACAGTGCCTAGCATATAGTAGGCACTTAATAAATGTTTATTCTGACTCTGATAAAAGTGGAAGGGAAATGGAATGGATTCCAGGCAGATAAAACCACATGAACAAATGAAAGGGTAGGAGAAACTTTAAGTTGTGTTCCTACACCATTAACTAGTCTAAATATTACCTTATAAACACAAAAATATATCACCCTATGATATTTGTTTTTATTGATACTCTTTCATTTTTTTCACAGATATAAGGAAAACCAATGTCAGAGTAAAAACGCTACTTATGTCATTGAAAAGTAAGAAATATTTTAATAACATCAAAAGTAAGGGTACTACTTATTCAATATTTGTGGTCAAAGAACATTCATTGGGGAGAAAGGATTCAGATTTAACATCAACTTTCCTAAGTGTAAAACATTCTAATTCATTAATTTATTCAAGAGACAGCATGGCATTGTGGTTAGAGAACTGGTCTTAGATCCAGAAAACCCTCTGTCTGACACATACTGGTTATGTAATCCTGGGCAAGTCCCTTAATCTCAGAGTCCCAGACAACTAACTCTAATTTGCAGAAAATGTTCCAACATGCATTAGTAGAGTGTTTTTCCTCTTTCAAGAATTCTCAGTGCCAGTGAAATCACAGATCTAATCCTTATCCCTACTATGTGCCAGGCATTGTGCTAGGCACTAGGGATACAAAGACAGAAATGAAACAGTCCCCACCCTCAGGAAAATTACAATCTACTGGGGGAAAACAACATGCACACAGAGAAGTAAACATAGACATATACAAAGTAATTACACAGTAATTTCCAAGAGAGGGCACTAGCAGTTGGGGGGAATTGGGATGGACTTCCAGTAGTTCTGGAGCCGAGTCTTGAAAGAAGCTGGGATTGTAGGAGGGAGAGTTTAGAAAGGAATTCATTCTTTGTGTGGGGCACCTCTTGTGCAAGAGGCACAGGGGAAATTGAATTCTGTCTTATCAGAAGTAGTAAGTAGGCCAGTTTACAGGAAAGGGTGAACATATTAATGTTACAATAGCCATTTTTGTTATGTGAGGTCCAATACAAAGGTCTTTTCTTGGCAAAGAAAACAAGCACAATGAGAACGAAGCACTGCCGTACCTGTTTTCAGTTATTCATTTTCTGTTACAGGGAAAATCATGTATTCACAAATGAGGGTGATGTAGAAACTTAAAAGGCATAAATAAAAATATGATTAAATTATTTGGCAATAGTATTTATAGATCACTTTAAAGTTTGTAAAGCACTTTATATACATTATCTCATTTGATGATCAAAACAACTCTTTGCAGTAGGAGTTATTATTGTCCCCATTTTACTGAAAGGAAAACTGAAGCTTAGAGAGGTGAAAGTCATATAGCTAATAAGTGTTTGAGACAGGATTCAAACTTGGATTTTCTGGACTCCAAATCTAACTGATTTGACTAACTATACACACAGGAAAAACAGAGTGGATGAAGAATGCCTTACTGGCCAGAATGTGATATTCAGTTGGATGGACATAGGGCTAGTCCATAGATACATATATCTTGAACAAATACTATAGACGGGTAAGCCCAAAATTTAATATAAGAGAAAAGCCGGCTAGCTTGCATTTGGAAATTGTGCAGTGTTTTTAATAAACTCAAAACTCCACCTGAAACAAAGAGCCATCTTTTTAATACTAATATTCTTCTAATTATACTGTATAGATGCAAGTGTCCGAAGGATTCAGATTTCTGGTCACCCTAAGGACAATAGAGAGGCCCATGGTGGGTGGTAGATGTCATTATTTCACCAACAAAGAAATATGCAAGAAGAGATGTCATCAGGAAGATGTATGCTGCAAAAAGAAAATGGGACAGACATGAAGCAATAAACAATAGCAACTGTGGCAATAAACATATGAAGTGCCTAGAAGTCTTCAAAGAAGCTCACAGAAGCTAGGTGGCACAGTGGATAGAGCTCCAGCCTTGGAGTCAGAAGGACCTAAGTTCAAATCCGACCTCAGACACTCGACATTTATTAGCTGTGTGACCCTGGGCAGGTCACTTAACCCTGATTGACCCACCAAAAAAAAAATAATAATAATAATAATCTAAAGGAAGCTCACAGAATATTAGCTAGACTTCTCGTGGAGGATTCAGGGGAGCACATAGACAAGAGTTCTGACAAAGTATGGCTGGGTTGCATTCTGCACCAATGGAGGGAGAATTTATAAAAATAAGATCCATTGAAGTATCAGGGTTGTTTTACACCTGAGTCACAAAACTCTCCCTCACCAGGATTGTTCCAGGTGTCTGTGAGAACATTCCTTTACTCTTTAAAGATTAGTAAATAAAAATCTGACTTCCATTGTGATATAGATTATGGCAAATCCTTAGTTATTTATCTCCTTCTTTCTCCAGTACCCAGGCAAGTGTGCTTCAATATCTCCTAACTCTCGAACAAAGTGTTGGGATTTGGAATGACATTCCTCTAGCCACCTTTCCACTTCCTATCTTCCTTCAGAACATCTTGGCCCTACGTACAAATTACCCAAGGATTCTAAAAAGAAGGCTGGAGGCTTCTTCCTCCTAGCATAGGTGATAATGACAAAAGAGAAGAGTTTCCAACAAAGGAGAGGGAAAGTTTTGTTGTCTTCACTACAGTTATCTTCAACAGAGGTTGGTGTATTAGCTGTAGTCAACCTCATCATGAGGTTTTTGTATACAGTTATCACGAGCACTAGGGCAGCAAAGTAACACAGTGGATAGAGGGCTAGGCCTGGAGTCAGGAAAACTCAAGTTCAAGTGTGACCTCAGACACCTACTAGTTGTGTGACCCTAAGCAAGTCACTTAACCCTGTTTGCCTCAGTTTCCTCATCTGTAAAATGAGCTGGAGAAGGAAATGGCAAACCACTCCAGTACCTTTGCCAAGAAAACCCCAAATGAGGTCACGAAGATTCAGATACAACTGAACAACAACAACATTATGAACACTATAAGGCAAGGTGACCAAAGAATCCTATGTAATAATGAAACCAACTCCTCCTTGGACCCCAACTCATTTGTGGCTGTGGTTGTTGTCCTTCACATTCAAAGAGGACTAAAATGACATCACTATGTTGGGGTCAAGGTACAGCGTGTCTGACTGTTGCTGATCAGGACCAATGCGAGTTCAGAAGGCCCTACCACAGGCTGGGCACAAATAATACACATGAACATATGGATGAGAAATGTCTCTAAATTTGTGCATCTCACATTTCTTTTGAGCTACTGCAATTCTACTTTGCTTATACAGCACAGCTCCTTCTCTGATGCAGGCACACCATGCTGGACAGTACAGTGCCAGCATCTCTTGTGTCTCACAATTCCGAAGTTCTTCAGAGACACCTTGAGAGTGTCCTTGTATCACTTCTTCTGGGCTCTGTGTGAGCACTTGCCTTCTGTAAATTTTCTGTAAAATAGTCTTTTAGGCAAATGTACATTTAACATCGAACAATGTGGCCAGCCCATAGGAATTATACTCTCTGCAGTAGAGTTTAAATGCTTGGCAGTTTAGCTTGAGAAAGGATCTCAGTTTCCAGTACCTTATCTTGCCAAGTGATCTTCAGAATCTTCCTAAAACAATTCACATGGAAGCAGTTCAGTTTCCTGGCATGGTGCTGGTATACTGTCCAGGTTTCATAGGCATACAACAATGAGATCAGCACAACGGCTTCAGTTTGGTAGGCAGTCTAATATCTCTGCTCTCCCACACTTTCCTTCAGAACCTCCCAAACACTGAGCTAGCTCTGGCAATGAGTGCGTCAACCTCATCATCTATGTGTAAATCCCTGGAAAGTATATTACCAAGGTAAGTGAATTTATCCACAGTATTCAAAATTTCTCTATTGCCTGTAACCAAAGGTTTCACATATGGATGGTACAGTGCTGGCTGATGGAGAATTTGTTCTCTTGATTTTAGTTGTCAGGCCAAATGAGCACAAGCAACAGAGAATTGATCCATACTCTGTAGCATCTCAGCCTCAGAGGCTATATTGAGTGTACAATCATCTGTGAACAAAAAGTTGAGCTCCAACCCTCCCTCCACTTTAGTCTTGGTTTGTAGCCTTTTCAGGTTAAATAATTTACTGTCAATGCAATACTGGCCTTGATGCCATTTTCATTCTCATTGAAGGCATCTGACAACATTGCTGAAAACATCATGCTCAGAAGCATGGGAGCAAGCATATGGCTCTGCTTCACTTCATTGGTGACTGGGAAAGCACAAGAGCATCATCCATTATCCAGAACCCATGCAAGCATGCCATCATGGAACTGGCATATAATACTGATGAACTTCTCCAGGCAAGCAAATTTTGCCATTATCTTCCACAAGTCCTCATGACTGACAGTATCAAAGGCCTTGGTCAGATCTACAAACATTGTATATAGACCTCTATTCTGCTCCTGGCATTTCTCCTGGAGTTGTCAGGAAGCAAACACCATATCAGCCATTCATCAGCCCTTTCTGAAGGCACATTTGCTATCCTCCAGGTGAAGGATCAGTCTTTTAAGGGGATTCTGGCAAAAACCTTATTGGCAGTGACTAAGAGAAAGACACCCACCCCACCCCACCCCACCCCTGTGATTGTCACAGGACAATCTATTATTTCCTTTTCCTTTATACAGATGGACAATGGAGGCATCCTTGAACTTCTGGGGAATAACCTTCTCTTGTCATATAATCTGGAAGATTTCAGTCAGCTTTTGAATGAGTAGTGGACCCCCTGCCTTGTAAATCTCAGCTGGAATAGAATCAGCACAAGATGTTTTGCCACACAAGAAGAACCTAAAAGTATTCAAAACCTCTTCTTCAATAGGAAGTATACCTGAGGTATAGGATCAATGGCTTCAGCATTGATTAATGATGGTCTGTTGAGAACACTATAGAAGTGTTCAGCCCATCTCTCCAGTATCATGTTCTTATCATTAATCATTGTGGCTCCATCTGTGCTGAGTAATTGAGATATATCATAGGTCTTTGAACCATAAATAGCCTTCAGGGTGTCATAGGAATGCTTTGGATTATTACTATCAGCATAAAACCGAATTTCATCTATCTTCTTACTGAACCAAGAATTCTGCATCTCTCTAAGTTTTGCTTGCACTTTACTTTTGCTGGGGGTTAAATGCTGCCTTCTAAGAGATGGATGAACTATCCTACTGGTATACCCTGTGGAGTTCTCATTTTTCATTTAGCAGCTTCTGAATTTCCCCGTCATTTTCATCAAACCAGTCTTGATGTTTGTGAATATTCTAGCCCAGATGAGTAAATGCAGTGCTGTACAGCAAATCTCTGAAAGCTACCCACTCCTTTTCTGCTCCACTGATGCCAACCATGTGTTGGCTCAGATTTCCCTCCAAGTTAGCAAACTGTTCATGCTAGAAGTGCTCTAATATGTTGGCATTGTCATATGGTAATCATCTTGCCTTGGGGCCACCACTTTTGTGAAATATGAATGTGTAGTTTGGAAAAGACGTCTATGATCAGTCCAGTACTCTGCACCACTCGTCACCTATGTCACTCTCACATACTTTCTCTCTCTTCTCCTTACAATGACATAGTCTATTTAATGCCTGTGTTTCCTGCAAGGGTACATGTACGAAGCTTCATTGAGTTTAGGTAGATGCAAGACAGTGTTGATGATATGAAGGTCATGAGACACACAACCCTTCAGTAGTAACATTGCTATTGCTGTCTCCAACTCTATTCCTCCCAGGAACTCATAGTCTGTGCCTATTCTGACATTAAAATTACCCGGAATTACAACCTTGTCCTCTTTTGATACACTGATGATGAAGTCTTCACAAATTTTTTCTTTGACCTCATCAGGATTCATCATGGTGGGAGCGTAGACACTAATGATGGTGACATGGTGCTTTCCTGCAAGTGACAATCACATTGTCATGAGCCTGTCATTCAGTCCTTTTGGAAGGCATGCAAGCTTGTTGACTAGATTAGTTTTAATTGAAAAACCTACACCAGCTTCATAGTGCTCCTCATCACTGCAGCCACTCCAAAAAAAAAGTACATCCCACTCTGACTCTGATAAGCTGGCCTTCATTTGCCAGCCTTGCATCACTCAGGGCTACTATTTGGATGCATACCTGCCGAGTTCTCTTGCTGCCAGAGCTATTCATCTTTCAGGTCTACTGGATTTCACGTTGTCCATACACATGTACACATTCTATGTACCAATGGTAAGCGGAATCATCTTTTTTTGTGTGTTTTGACCATAGGGTAGGATCCCAGCCTGCTGCAATAAGCAGTTAAGTTAGGTGAAGTTAGGTGAAGAGGACAATTTTTAGGGAACCTTTTCTAAGCCCCTTCCTCACACCAAGAGGTGAGCAGTGAAGTCCTTAAATAAGTATGTTCAGACACCTAGAGGGCTGCTGAATTCCACTGCTGCTTCAGTCCAGTGAGAAGACAACCCATGGCCTGGGTCACCTGTGTTCAGGGTTGTGACTACAGCTCCCAGTGTATCTGTACCAGCTGCTTTGTCACTTGCCTGTTGCCACAGGACTTTGAGGTAGGTAAAAATGGTAAAATGGGATGGATGATGTCTTTTCACTCATGCATAAATTGGATTCAAGTGAGGCGGAGTTGTGCAAAGTTGGCCTCGCTCTCTCTTCCAAAGTCATTGGAGTCTAGCAGCAAGACAAAAGTCAAGATGACTGGCAACGCTTAGGATGCAGTGGATGATCTTGGCATCTTTGATGTCTAACCAAACTCTAAGTGCTCCACAGTGTCTGCTTCAGCTGCCCTCATGGCCATTGAAACAAATTGTTATCATCCTCCCATTCTGCTGGGGGAATTCTTCACATATTTGGAGTAGACATCTCCCCAACTCCCCAACAGGTTTGAGACCCCTCTGTTCCCCTCAACCTGGTTATGCCTGTCTGCCGAGATTGTTTTACTGGGGTGTGGCCATTGTGCATACTGTAGCTTCTTAGAGCCACAGGTGAGAGTTGGGTGGCAGATGGACACCAAAGGGGGATAAGCAGCCCTGAAAATGACTTGGAAGCCCACTCACCAGTTGCTAGTCCTCCCTGAACACCCATAGACCCCACCCAACTCATTTATTCAACACTGAGAAGAATTCTATAAACCGTTCTTCCATTTAGCTACCTCCTTATGTCTTCTAGTTGAAAATAGCCTAAACCATGGTTTCTTAACCTGATATCTGTAAACTTAGTTTTTTTTAATATTTTAATAACTATTTCACCGTAATTGATTTCCTTTGTAATTGTATTTATTTTATTTTTTGCATTTAAAAATCTTATCCAGAGAAGGGATCCAAAGACCTTACCAGATGCTGTCAATCCCCTATACCACCAAGCTGCCTGGTTTCCTGCGGTAGTGTAGGCCAAGCCTAACACAGGTTGATCTGGTGGTTTAGGTTCAAGACTGGAATGAATAGATACATATATGTAGACCATCGAACAGTTAATCAAAAAGAAGTTTATTTAGCCATAACATGGAAGGGTTATTAATCAAGGATACAGCATTGATTCAATTGGACATAGCTTACCTATCTCTGTATTTGTTATGGTGGTAAGTGTCAAGTGAGGAACTATTGATCTCTTGTGGGCCACATTTTGTACTGAAGCCTATGGTTTGAGCCTTAGACCTCTGGGTCAATTGTATCTCACGGATGGTTTCAGTACCTTTTAATGAAAAACAAGCCAACCCTGCTGGGAGTAATGTCTTAGGAAAAAGCTAGCCCAGCCTGTGTGGCAAGGATACTAGTAGATATTACTCCTACCATAAGTGGCATTGGGGAATTTGTCAAATTGGATACGGTGGAGTCAAGAGAAATCTAGCACCATCAAGAAGTAACTTTCTTTTTCTTCACCAAAGGTATATCTCATCATTATGTGGAAACTCCCTTCGTCTATGTAGATAACCTATAATTCACAGCCCCAGAAAAATTGCCTCAAGGCGCTGACATACTGAGTTGGCTTTCCCATTGTCATATAGATGGTATATTGGATGTAGTAAGACTTGAACCTGGTCTTCCTGACTCCAAGGCTGGCCATCTGTCCACTACACCATGCTGTCTCATTTGTTCTTTGCTTTAAGAGATGATGCATAAGTCAGTAATTTCCCAATTATTTTATGGATGTGACACTCTATTTTTGTTTCTTGAAGATTATTATCCTTCTCTTTTAAAAAAAAAAAAGTATTTTTCATTGAAGTAAAAAACTTTATTTTCAAATATTCCTTAAAACTGCAAAATTAGGTTTGTAATCCTTAGCTTAATTCAATCTCCTGCATCCTAAACACTAGTTAAAAGATGAGATCCCTATTTGTTTACATAGTGAAGTTATGAAAATTAAATTTGTTTTAGACCAGAAATGTATTATTTTTAATATGTAAAACTTCAGTATTTTAAAATGTCTCTTTTTTATTAGGAAATATTTGAGGGGCAATCCACCTGAAGACATGGTAAGAAAACTATGAATTTTTTGTCCATAAGTCAAATACATAAAAATAACTAATGCATTTTTTTTCTTTTCTAGCATGTAAACTATAATGTTAGCAAATATGGCTGCCCTTTCAAAATTTCTATGACAAAATCATTCCACCCCGTCCTTCATTTGTAAGTAACATTCTAAAACATTTTCCAATTTATCTTGCATTTTTCCAAACAATAGAATTAAAAACATGACTAACTGATCACCATAGGTCAAAAATAGGTTTTTGTTTGTTTTCACTAAGAAAGTTCATTATGTACATATTTTTAGGTCATTGCTAATGATCATTTTGTTTTGCTTCAAATTTGCTTTAAATTCTGTTCTTCAGGGTCATTGTCAGAGTCATTCCTTCCCTTCCCTTGGAATCTTGAGTCAAATCATAAATGCACCAAAAAGAACTTAGTTCTTGGTTTTCAACAGATAACTTACACTTATTGTAATGGTTACTGATAGTTATCTTACTGTTTCATCTGTGGTCTTACAATGCCTCAGGTCTTCTACCAGCTATTAGGGAGCATACTGTTGATAAAGACAAGAAATCTAGATTTGCACTAATGGGTACTGTTTATCTAAGAACACAAGGAGATTTAGTTTTTCTAGACTCTTGAGATAATCCATTCCAACCTGAAAGATGATATTAACAAAAATAACTAAAGAATAGTGTAGTTGCTATAAGAGACCAGAAAAAAACCATTACCTTCCATACCATCTGGGAAACTCAGGAGCTAACAATGTGATCTTGCCAGAGCAGTGGCACCAGTGAATATTGTTTCTATTTCCTTGAGAGGTATGTCTTTATGATTTGTGAACTGACTACCCATTGAATAGAGGTGGGGAGGGAGAGAGGGAGATAAGTGTTTAGTAAGAGCTATAAACAAAGTTACTTACAAGCACAAGTGAGTGACATCTGATTTTCAGATGGTCCCTTCTAGCTGTAAAATTTTATGACAAACACTAATGGTATAAATCACTTAATTCAATATTTTAGTTTCATAATGATATTTGTAATTCATTCTAAATGGCATTGCTATGAAGAGAAATACATTATTGTCACTGTAATAATGTTTATAATTCTGAACCATCCTGAAGGCCATTTTAAATCCAGAGGTTATGAATTTGCTTTTTCATTAGATAATGTTCCCAGTAATTTATTGCTTTTTATTCAGATGCCAATACAAGTGGGCCAGATTCTTAATTTGATGAGGATGGGATTGATATTTTTATATCAGAAAAAGACTGTGAGAAAAACTGGATAGGATCAAGGAGTGGCAAGTAGCCTGGGGTAGTCACCAGGTAACAGAATGAAGAGCTGGGCCACAAAAAAAGGACAGCTGAAAGGATTACACTGGGATGGGCCAGATGCAGATGCCTCAGGCAAACACCAGGAATCTGGGCAGCTGAAATTTGTGGGAAAGTTCATGGACCCTTTTTTCAGGAATTCCATTGATACAGTTTAGGGCTTCAGAGGTCCTGGGACCCCAAAATCAAACATACGGGTCCTGCCCGAAAGAATTCAACCCACACCTTCTTTCAGCCAAAGACAAGGTTTATTAGAACATCCATCATATTAGGCAGACTCTTGAGGAGTCTGGAAATTAGTAAGCTATTTGGTTTATTGGCTAGATTATAAGAATCTAAGCAGTGGCTAGATTTTAGAAATCTGAGCATCTTAATGGAGACAAGATGGACCTTATATACAGAAAGACTATGGGAGGGATCTAGGAGTGACCAAGTAGTCTATGAGGTAAGAGAACTCCAGGGGTGGCCAAGGGAGAATGGAGCCTAGATAGAATTAAGGGTGGGAAGTGGCCTGGGGACATAGGGAAGTCTAGGCTAGGTTAAGGGTGGGAGATTGGTTATAGACACAAAGAAAGGCCAGTTGATGGGATCATAGCCTCAGGCTAAAGCCAGAGATTTGGTCATGTGGGAAAGTCCAAAGTTTTTCCTTTTTGAGGTCTAGCTCCCATCCTCATCATTCCCCCCTCAAACAAATGGGACCTAAATTCTTTTGTGGTAAGGGGTAAAGGTCTCGGCTTCTGAAACTGCTTCCTGCTGGCAAGGGGCGTAGAGCTGTCCCTGCCTCAAGGGGGTCACAAAGAGGAGGTTGACGGGAACCGAGCACAGGTTGCATCCAGGGAATGATGGAGGTGATGGGGTTGGGATCTGGGCCCCAGAAAGGAAAAACCCTGGACTTTCCCACATGGCCAAATCTCTGGTGTTTATAATCCCATCAAGCGGCCTTTCATTGTAGCTCCCACCCTTAATCCTAGCTAGGCTCCATTCTCCCTTGGCCACTAGGTCCAGGTCCCAGGAGTTCTGTTTACCCCAGTTTACTGGCCACTCCTAGATCCCTCCCGCAGACTTTCTGTATATGAGGTCCATCTTGTCTCCATTAAGATGCTCAGATTCTTATAATCAAGCCATGACTCAGATTATTAAAACCTAGCCACTGCTTACCCAGGTTTCAGACTCCTTAAGAGTCTGCCCATTGTGATGGATGTTCTAATAAACCTTGTCTTTGGCTGAAAGAAGGCTTGGGTCAAATTCTCTTGGGCAGGACCCGTGTGTTGTGATTTTGGGGTCCTAGCACCCCCGAACCCCTAAACCCCATCAGGGGGACATTGGTTGGTACCCACTGTTTGCTACCAACTGTAGGTAAATGGCCTATAGTCTGGAAGACACAAATCTGACAGGAAACTGCCGGGCCCAGATATAAAGCAGGGACTAGATTTAGGGCCCAACTTTGAGAGGATGAAACATCTTTAGTTCTGTTTGGATTCAGATAATTCAGTTTTCCAACCATGCAGTATCAAATCCACTTCATAGCCAGACTCAGGAATAGCCAGGTGGGTAACATTCCTTTTCAAAGGAACATAATGGGGAAACTGAGCCAGGAGGATCCCATCTTAGACTGAGGCTAAAATTGTCCTCTCAGCTTTTTCCAATGCTGACTTCCCATCAGTATCACCTTCTCTGAGTAGCTTGTGGCATTTCTCTCAGATGGTGGATTATTGATTATCGATGGATTATGACCCATCAGACAACTCAAAATAAAATCCTATGAGCTTTTACCTCAGACAGCAGGTTTTACTAATCACAGCTTAGGGAAAAGTTTTCCAGGATTTACATCTCAAACTTAAATTTGTCCTGATGTAAAAAGCCAATCATTAGAGATTTCTATACACTTGCAAATTCTCAACAAGCCATACATAAGCTCACCCAAATAAGCTTTTTGGCTAGTTTACACATTAAAACAATAAACAACAATAGTTAGATTATTTTAGCATTAACCAGATTATGAAAAGTTGCTTGACATAACTGATACAGAAAGTTCACCAGTTTGAAATTTGAAACAAACCCATTACCAATCAGGTGACTTCAGTTCTGTTAAATGCACTTCCAAATTACTTTACACAGAGAATCAACATCTCATCATTAACAGTTACAACTATAAATTTAAAAGAGCGTGCTTACCCAAGTTTGGAGGCTAGTTTCATTACCTTGAGCAGGTTGTGCTGAACCTGGGTGATGCTTCCAGGCAAAAGTTGCCCTAGAGCCCAAGGCCATTGCCTGGGGGTCCCACCCCGTAGCTGTTGCCCCTCTCCCTCTCCTTTCTTTCCCAGGTGGGGGAGGACAAAATCAAAGGTGAGGGATAAAGGGTGAAACTCTCTTCTCTTATGAGAGGGCTTAACAGATACCCTCTTGACTCAAGGGAAGGGAATGACCAGGTTGTACAGGTGTTTCAAAACTCCTTAATGATCCATCACAAAACCTCCAAAATATGCCAAGATAGTTTTAGCTGTTCTCACTTTCCCTGTAACCTCCATGAAGGAGGATTCAGAGGTGTGGAGGGAAGGGAGTAAGTAAGTCTCAGGGAACCAAAAAGCAACTGCAGTTTTCCCCAATTCCCTAGTGCGGAGGGAATTAACAGAATTGAGCATACACTTCAAAATAGGGGGTCCGTCCTTGTACTCTATGCTGCGGAAGGTGTACCCAGGTCCATGGCCTTGAACCGACCCTGTGGACCGAGACCCTGAGAGCATCAGGCCGAGTGAGAGACAGCCTCATAACTGTCTGCCAGAGAAGCACCTCCAAGCCTTGGTGCTTAGAGAGCAACCCTAACTGCAGAGCAAGAAAGGAGGGGTGGGGGGAGGCTTACATACCTTCCAGTCTTGGCTGGAGAAGAACTTGGGGTTAGGCAGTTTCCCTGTATGGGCCACCAAAATGATGCGGTTTAGGGGTCCAGGGGTCCTGCGACCCCAGAATCACAAAATGCAGGTCCTGCCCGAAAGAATTTGACCCAAGCCTTCTTTCAGCCAAAAACATGGTTTATTGAAGATTCACCATATTAGCCAGACTCTTAAGGAATCCGAGTATCTGTGGGTTATTGGCTAGATTGTAAGAATCTAAGCATCTTAATGGAGACAAGATGGACCTTATATACAGAAAGACTATGGGAGGGATCTAGGAGTGGCCAAGCAGTCTATGAGGTAAGAGAACTCCAGGGGTGGCCAAGGGAGAATGGAGCCTAGATAGGATTAAGGGTGAGAAGTGGCCTGGGGACATAGGGAGGTCTAGGCTAGGTTAAGTGTGGGAGATTGGGTATAGCCACAAAGAAAGGCCAGTTGATGGGATCATAGCCTCAGGCTAAAGCCAGAGATTTGGTCATGTGGGAAAGTCCAGAGTTTTTCCTTTTTGGGGTCTAGCTCCCATCCTCAACACCATTGCTCCATCAGCCCCATCAGATTTCAGCTAAAAAAACTATAAGAGATTATCTGTTTCATCCTCATTTTATAGCTGAAAAAAACCAAGGTATTGAGAGATGAAGTTATTTCCCCAAGATCCTAGAGGCAGTAAGAGGTAGAGCCAGGATTCAAACTAAGGTCTTTTGACCCCAAATCCAAAAATTTTCTGCTATAGATATGTACAATGTCTTAACCATATTAAATAATTACTAAGCAACAATCTCTTAGTAATCCAATTATCCAATAACCTTTAGAACAATCCTACAAAGATTTTATTATACAGTCCTTTTCCTTTAATCTTACAGTCAATAAATAAAACCTAGGGTTGTCCTAATTAAACTTGGTATTCAATTTTCAGCAAGATTGCTGAGAGCATCATAGCTTTAGAGCTAGAAAGTACCATAGAGGTCATTTAGTCCAGCCCCTTCATTTAAATATCATATGATCACAAGGCCATAGATCTGGTTGGAAGGGACCTAAGAGATATGTCCAATATTCTCATTTATAGTTGAGGAAGCTAAGACCAGGAGAGGTGAAGTCCCTTGCCCAAGGTCACACAGATAGTAAATGCTCTGTGGTGTAGCGTGTAACATACTGGAGCTGGAGCGAAGAGCACTTGAGTTTAAATCCTGCCTCAGGGATCTTCTGGCTGTGTAACCTTGACTAAATCATTTGACCTCTCTTAGCTTGATTTTCCTCATCTGTAAAATCAGGATAATAATAGCACCAACATCCCAGGTTATTGTGAGGATCAAATGAGATAATATGTGTAAAGCACATTACAAATTTCAACATTCTATATAAATGCTAGTTATTTAAGGTAATCACCATTTTTAGCAGTAAATGGCAGAATTAGAATTTGAACCTTTGTTGTTGTTTGTCCTTCATTCTCAAAGAGGACCATGACATCAGGGAAGTGATGCCACGACGTGCAGGTGAATTGGATTTAAGTGAGGGAGGGCTGGGCAAAGTCACCAACCTCATTCTCTCCTATGGCCCCATCTGGGTCCAATGGCTAGATATAGATCAGAACAACTGGAGATGTCCCAGGATGCAGTGAGGGACCTTAGCCTTTTTATGCTAAGGTCTTTAACAGGTCTCATTTTGACTGAGGCAGCGCCCATTCAGTGATCAAGGCTTAATAAGAAATGAGGCAGAGAATGGCCTCTTTACCAAGTCCAAAAAAAAATAATTATCTGGGAAGGAAAGACCCTTAGAGTCAGCCAAAACAGAAAACAATTGTTATTTACATTCATTCCAAACCAATAGAGATCCAAACAATGACCAAGTAGGGCTTGCTGGGACCTATTATTGGCCAATCAATGAGAGCCAGAGTGATTTGAGGTTAAGTCTAGTCTTTAAGAAATAAAAAAGTTTCATAGATTAGAATTTATATTCCCTTTGGGCAGAGCACCCAAAGGTAAGGGTGTGATGCCTCATGTGAACAGAGGGGGAAGGAAGGAAGGAAGGAAGGAAGGAAGGAAGGAAGGAAGGAAGGA